GACACCATTTAATTGGAGAAATTCATCAACTTGATATGGAAAATCGCCAATAGAATGATGAGTTATCAACTCTCACTACCAAGTCTTTAACTGAGACCTTAATGGCCGGAATTGGTGAATTTTTTCAGAATTTTTCCATGGTTAAAAATAGCAAAAGCAAAGAGTTGATTTCACCAATGGCTCTGGAGTTTCAAGAGTCCATTTTTAAAGAGCCAAATTATGAAATTAACATAACGAAAGAGCATGTTCTTGAACCAAATTTGGCTAAGAATGATGTTTCATGCATGACTCGGGGGGTCTCAAAACCAATTTTTAGAGAGTCAGGTCATGAAAATAACATATCTATGGGTGATTTTCATAAGCCGTTAATGGCTAACATGGAAAAACGACCCACTTTGCCAAATAATTATGAAAATCTATTCGGCAAAAGTCATGTTTTAAAAACAAACATGGTCAAAAATAATGAACAAACCACTGTTCATGAATTCAATTTTTTTGACATTTTTCAAAATGTCAAAAAGTATGAATTTTCATGGTCACACTATACCATGACTTTTGTTGTTCGAAATCTATTTTGGATTTGTGAATCACATCAAACGTTGAATTTGATGGAATGACTAACAAATAATATTTCATTATTGCAATATATTGAGCCAAAAATGTTGTTATTAGTTGATCCATAAAACCATCACCATTTGGTTTTGTGGTTACCTTCAAAGCATGTCTCAAGACACTTCGAAATAGATTATTCATTAAAATATCATTTTATAGCCATTAATGGCTAGTTAAAATGCCAAACTAATTTTATAGTAATCCAACTCTTTGGATTTAGTTCAAAGAGATGTCGTGAGCACTTTCGAAGGACGGCTTTGATCCTTTAGTAACATATGTGACTTTCGAATGGTGGTTTTGTCATCAATAAACACCTTCGAAATATAACATGAGATAAGAAAACTTTCGAAATGTGTACCTCCCTTCAAATATATGTAAAATGACAATTAATTAATTATCGAATAATGCCTATTTTTTGCATGATAATTAGTGGTTTTACTGATAACCATTTTTATAGCCATTTGTTACATGAAAATGTATCTAGCATTCTATAAAAGTTGGTTCGAAGAACAACGGTTTTGATGTCTTTGGAGAATTAATAATTGGTTTAAATCATAAAATTAATATTTTCATTAATTATGTGTGAACCAAAACATAAAAAATTTAAATAACCACAATGTTGGCCAAAAGTTGCTTCGAAAGCCCTTTTGCCATAATTTTGTAAGCTTCAAAGCACTCTATCTTGCATCAACAACAGCTTCGAAGAAAAAATAGTGATAGTTGTGAACTTTCAAAGCTTTACCGAGTATTTCCAAGGATGTAATTCGTCTTTCGTCGGCATTTTCGACCTTCGAATGATAATTTTAGTCCTCTATACCACCTTCGAAGCTGGTTATTTAGCATGTGTAACAGTTTGCTAAGGTGAATTATTGACTTTGTCTTGAAAATATGTGATTATCTTTCAAAACTTTTCTACAATAATATCCCTTCAATGCGTATATATATAATTCGCAACATCTAGTCATAATTTCATGCTCATTTGAAGCAGTTTATTGGTGCTATTATATCATTCGAAGCACTTTGTTGATATTATTCGAAGCACTTTATTGCTTAGATTAGTCATGTACTTGGTTCGGCCTTTCAAAAATTCAAATAAACATTATTTTTAAGGGCCACGGAGGGTAATGTTAGCACCATAAATTTGTAATTTTTATTATTATTATTATTTTTATAATTGCAGAACATGTGGCATCCTCCTACTCATTGGAGGTTATGAGAAGTTATGAAGACATGGAGGGTTATGTGGGATTATGGGAATGAAGATGGAAGAGTGGGTAGTTTTAGGTGGTTATTGCGTAGTTATTGCTGGAAGTTTTTTCCTACAAATATTTGTCTATAAATAGTCATTCATGGCTACATTGTAAAAGATCCAGAATTCAAATCAAAGATAATTGATTTCAATATTTCTTGTCATTTTCCTTATCTTAGGAGTAGTTTAACATAGATTTTTATTTCGAAGCATTTATTTTCAGCATTTCCATTTCGAAGCATTTTATGTACTTCCTTTTCGAAGCATAGGAGTAGAGGTAAGTAGTTATTACTTTGATTGTTTACTCAATTGTTTTTGTCCGTTTCCCTCATTCTTCTTTTAATTTTTCTTTTCTCTACACTTGACAATTTTGAAGTCCTCTTTGTTGAGGCAAAAGAACCATCAAAGTAGTCGCTTGATAATTGGCTTGAATTTAATCTGTAAGGATTTTTCAATCCTTACTGGCACGCTCGTATTTATAATATTTTCCTTCGTAAGAAAAATAAGCCAACAATCTCCAATCAATTTTTGTGTTGAGTAATGCTCTTGAATCAATTTTTGCCATTTTCCTTATCGAAAATCGGCGGTTCGGTTGGCAAATAATGGCGGATTTGCCTTGGCGGTTAGGGCGGATTGGCGGTTTATAAAAAATATAATTCAAATTATAAAACTTAAATCAAAGAGTAAAACAAAGACGAGAGATATCGTAATGTTAAGCATCTTGTGAAGCTTTCTTCTGATGCAGCAAGTGTAGCAACAACATGATAATATCAACGACTATACCATCAGTTCATTACAAGCATCTGTGGAAGCTACTATGATCAAATACAATACATAAAATTTCCCTCGAGCAGTAATGTAATACTATATTCTAAGGTATAGAACAACAAGCAAACTTAAGTAAAAAAGAATTTGTAGAATCCTATAAAACATGATTTAATAGCGGTGCGGGTCGGTGCGGTTTGGAAAAAAAATAGAAATCGGCAGATTGATAAAAGTGTCACTAGAATTTGCCATTTTTCTTACCAAAAACCGGCGGTTCGATTGACAAATAATAACGAATTTGCCTTGGCGGTCGGTTCGGTGCGGTTTTGACGGTTTCGACAGTTTCGACGGTATTATACATACCCCTACTCTTGATTGTGGAGGTGATCAATGGTGATGAATTTACTAAGAAATTATAGGAATAAATGGCTTTTATATCAATTTTGTTATAACTATAGAAATTAATTATGAAATCAAAAATATCTCTTTGAAATTATTGCGACAATGACAAAAGAAAAGAATACAAATAATTTTTTGGTTGGTAGTAGCACCCTGCAAAGATATGTTTGCGATTTTTTGAAAATGGTTTAAAGGTTTCAATAGCTAGCATAGCATGACATGACCCCAAAGAGTGATTTACATTTTCAGCCGGAATTGGAGCCAAACATTGGGTCCACATCATCATCAAAAATACAAAGAAAAAGCATCAACTACTACTACTATTATGGCCATAGGGTTGGCCTAGCTATCTAGCCTTTGCCAATGCCAAAGCAATCATTTCGACCAAACCAAAGTTTCTATTAGATTTGGGAAGTTGGCTTAGTTCTGGTGGGTGACAAGGACTCAAAATTAGTTTTGAATTCATCATCATAATATTTGATACATTCAGGAGAGGTATGATATATATTCACACTTCATTTTTTAAGTCTTTCACACTCGATCATTTAAAATTTTTAAATTCATCTAAACTAGATCATCTTAAAAAATAAAAAATAAAAATTGAAAAAAAAAATCATTAAAAAGGGGAAAAAAAAAGAAAGAAAAAAAAAAGAGGCAATTTCAACTAATGTCAGCTTATTTTTTGTTTTTCTTGAATTTTTTAAAAATTTTCAAAGTTTAAAATTAAATTTTGACATAATTTTAAAAACTTATTAGAGACTAAAGCCTTCGTTTAGAAAATGAGTTGGCTTTCACACTTATTGGTTATTACTCGGGCAAAAATCCTTGTTTGTGATTGGTTTTTTAGTTCTTTTAATTTTTGTGAGAGAAAAAGTAAAATAATTATAGTTTAGATGTGACATTTTGTTATATTAATTTTTTAACCTATTTTGCCTTTTGTAACTATTTTAACCCCAACTCATAAATGCCAAACATAGCCAAAATAAATAACCCACAAATTAATTAAGAGTGTTAATATCTACAAAATTATTCATTGATCAATATTGGAACAAGGTAGTCAAAAGTTGCATGAGATTTGTAAAATGGGCCAGGAGAGCCTCTCGGAAAAAAGAACAGTAAAGCCACAAAAGTTGCATGAGATTTGTAAATGGGCCAAAGAGAACAGTAAAGCCCTTTGATATGGGCCTTCCCTACAATTGGGCTAGGCAACCCAAGCCCAGTCCAAAACAATTTAAAATAAAGAGAAAACAGACACGCCCAGTGGGACTCGAACCCACAATCGCCTGATTAGAAGTCAGACGCCTTATCCATTAGGCCATGGGCGCTTTCGATCTTGTGTACCTAACTAAATTTATATCTTTCATTTCACTTTAGATTTTAAATAAAATTTAAAATGTTCCTCAAATTTTGTATACATTGTTTACCTATTTTCTTTGTTTGGAATAATATATGTTGAATGTTTTGTAGAAATAAACTATAACATTCATATTAGTAATTTGTTTGAATTTTCAGCAAATGGGATCATTAGAAATTAATAATAATAATAATAATGTTGCAATGACCATATTCATATATTAAATTTGATATATCATCTCACGTACCATAATAAGGATATTTACACTTTTTAAGGGGCAAATCGTCAAATGGCCCTTTTTTTTTTTTAAGGATATGAGGACATCATTTTTGCTTCCGTTTGGGAAGTGAGTTGACTTTTTGACTTTTTGACTATTTTAGCCTGGGCTTAAAAGCTTGGTTTGGGAAGGGCTTTTTGGCTTTTTGACTTTTTTTAGTTTTTTTGTGAGAGAAGAATGTAATGATTATGAGTTGGATGTGATGTTTTGTTTGTTATGGCTAAACTAGCCTATTTTGTTTTTTGTGGCTAAAATAGCCAAAAAAACCTGCAAACCCACTTGCCAAACACAGGCTTTATGGGTTTGGAGAAGGGATACTGTACTGTACTGCTAGACTATCAACAGAACATGCAAACCATCTTTTAAAATGTATTTTGCATTATGCAATGCCAATTAAATGGATTACAAATAATGCAAATTGTCTCAGAAAAAAGTACACAACCAGAGGAGAATATAGACAACTGCTTCAAATTCAACCTCTCTACCAAGTTTCATGGATGTTCAAACTACCATTACAGGGAAAGACTCAACTATAACAAAAGCAAGTTCAAAGACTACCGCTCCATCGCAACTTCATTGAAATTCCAGTCTCTCACAATGTCTCTTCGAACTGCACAACTCCTGACTAGCCGTGGAGTGCCAGCAACTCCATTATTTGGAATACTTGGCTGTGGGGTTACCTTAGACGATGATGCAATAGAGGTGTTCCTCGTTGGGTATGGAAGAGATACCCTCCTGGTCAAGCAGTTTGCAATTGCAGAACATCTTCCCTCGTTGTCTGAACTTGAAACAGAGTAACTCCTAAAAGAGTGCGAAGGGCTTTCTACACTATGGCATACTAGACATGCCAAACTCATATTCAGTATTTTGGCAGTCCCAATCCTCGGAAAGTTTTCCTGCAATGTACATGCTAATTAGAAAAATAAAAATAAAAATTTGCCATCAAATTCAAAACTAGATAATACAAGTATTGTATTTATATAATATAACCTTAAAAAAAATAAAATAAATAAAATCATACTTTCATAAATTGATAGATAAGAAAATTTGCTATCAAATTCAAATCTAGATTTTTGGCCACGAGGAACGAAATTCAATTCTTATCTTTCAAGCAACCCAGCCAACAAAGAAGTATGAATGCTACAGAAAACATTTGGAGAATATGAAAAGAAGGGGCAAATTAAATCTCTAGTCCTTGTAGTTTGCCTCGTGTTCCTTAAATTTTCAGTGTAAATTTAGTTCAATTAATAATGCCCTTTTAGAAATTGGACTAAAATCAATGGGCAAAAATAATCCATTCGACCTCCTAACCGTTGGGGTCCAAGTTGAAATGGTCCATTCCCTTTTGAATTGACCACTTTGCTCTTGATTTTTGTTCAACTTCTTAACTAATGGTATTAATTGGATTGAATTGACACATGTGGAAAATTAAGAGAAAAAATTGATATAATTAGAACTACAATGAGCAAATTGACATAATAGGCAAATTACAGAGGCTGTGCATTATTCGCCCAAAAATAAAAAATAAAAAAGCAATACAACCAGAAAATTGTTGTTATCAAATGGATGCATATCTATTGTATAGTATGAAAACCAGAGAAGAAATGTCAAGAAGTAAGCCCTAAAGGATTACAAGAACTGAGCAACATTCTAGAGCCAACAGTGTCAAAGAATAAACTCCAGAGTGGTACAGCTGATTAAACCATGAAACTAGGAATCTATTTTAACAGGCCGTTAGGCTAACCTATTTCAATGCACACTACATATTTATATTATTGTTAATAAACTATGGTCTATAAACTCTTCCCTCTTCCACATAATTACCTTCCCTTCAAGTCCCCTCCCCACCTCTTTTCTATTTTTTTCAAATCAAAATGCAGCTGCCCCCTCCTAAATTTTCTAAACCACCACTTTTACCTATTCTTGTAATAACTTATTGTTTCTCTGTTCCTTCCAGTAAGCACATCATCCCCACAAATACGTAATGAAAATGGTTGATTGATCTCACTTAACAACAAATTGTAGAAGATTAATTTTTGTCCCTTTCTTTAATCCTAATGTTTCATACATGTTGGTACTTATATCTGGTTCTCCTACGTAGGATGCTAAGTCATCGTGATGTGTTTGCCACGTGATCATCTCCAATTGGCTTGATTCCATGTGTCAGGTTTGTGAGTTGACACATGTATCAATCATGCATCTCCACAAACTCATATCCTGAGTCAAGCCATGCCGGCCAAGGATAGTGCACACTATGCCTTACCATCAAGTCAAAGATGTGTTGAGGGACACTATCGAAGCATCTCCCAATTCATTCAAATGAGCGTGCTTGAAAGAACCTCCAAGGCTAGGCCGAGCAAACCTCAACCCAAGCACATCACCCTCTTCGCTTGAGTTGACATGCTCAACATTGAAAATCCCAGCTCACACTTCTTAAAATCCAATTGTTAAGAAGAGGGAAACTGGAGCCTTATAACCAGCACAAATGGGATAACTCTAGGTGATGTGGGACACATTCCAACACACCCTACTGGACCACAACATACATTAACTGAACAAATGACACACCAGTCACAGGCCTAACTAAGCTCTGATATTGAAAAATTCAACCCACACTTCTCCTTAAAACCCAGGTGTTAAAGAGAGGGAAACTGGAGCCTTATAACCAGCACGGATGGGGCAACTCCAGGCGACGTGGGACACATTCCAACACTCAACACCATTGACTTGGTTGAGCAAATCTCCGTTCAAGCTCCAAGATTTCACATGGTGCTGAACATGCCCATCTCCTTAAGATGTGCTCAATCATTCGTGGATTCAACCAATTGAACCTCTAACCAAATGCACATCTCTTATAATCTACATATTCTACAAAGGCACCTTGATAATACCGTGCCAACCTAGGTAGGGAGTACAGCTAAAAATCATCTCGAGGTTAATGCCACGGTCATAAGGAGCCCAAGAAACCCTTATCATCCCCGTGTAGGAACTTTGGAGCATAGTTGTCAAATCGAGATTCGTATCGTGAATCGAAATGGTCTCGTACCGAATCGCGAATCGAATCGAATCGTGAATCGTAAAGATTCGGTCACTTTTTTTAAATCACTTAAAAACATATATCTACACATTTAGATGTTAAATGTATCTTATGAATATAAAATATTTAGACTTAAATCAACAAAAATGTTATTTTGAATGATAATCATGTAATTTAATAGGTAAGAAGTTAGCAAAGGTTCCTATGTAAAATCACCATCTTACCTTTTTTTTTTTAGATTTTTTTATCGACTATTTTTAATAAAGGTAATAACCAAATAGAAACTATTAATTTCTAAAGTAACAATAGTTAACAACGATATTGATATTTGGACAATAAGCATATATACTTTTCTAAGTAAGAGTGAGCAAATAATAAGTAAGAATTATTTAGGATATTTTATTTTAAAGCTTAAAATATTTTAACAGGTATAACTGACCTCACACATGTAGTATTCAATTTAATAAAATAGTAATAGATAATTCATAGTGTAACTCTAATCTTAAACATCTTTAGAAGATATATTACAATTTTTTGAAGGGGACAAAAATAAGAAGAAATGTTAAAAATATGTTAGGCCTAACTGAATCTGATTGGATCCTATAAAAAACTCCATGATCACTAAAATAATAACAAATCATATATATATGTTGATTATTTTGGTATTAAATACTATTAGAAGTTGTATTATGTCATTTTTACAAAAAAGATGGAAAAAATAAGTCGAAAATATGTCGAACACAATAATTTCAAAAATTTCATGAATCGTAAAAAGTGAATCGAATCGTGAATCGATTCTGAATCGTGCGATTCACTAGAGATTCACTTCCAAAATAGATTCACTCATAGATTCGTATCGATTTTGCAAAAATTGCGTATCGAATCGTGAATCGAATCGTGAATCGTAAGATTCTGATAACAGAGCTTTGGAGTCTTGTGGACTAAGAAGCACGGACACGGACACAAATACGGATGCGGATGCAGATGCGGACACGAGACATGGCTATTTCAGAAAAACAGAGATACGGACACGGCGGAAACACGATAATAAAATATGTTTATATATATATATATTGCTAACTCCGCTGGAGTTGTTAAAACTCTGCCAGTCCCAAGCCCCGGTTAAGGAGGAAGGTTGTGTGTTAGGCAGCCGACAGCCAACACGTAAAAAAGCCACTCGAATCCCTTATGACAATGAATCCTACTTTGAATCATTTAAATGCTAGGTTGTTTCCCTCAAGTGACGCGTTGCGCCTGCCTCCGGGTGTTTTGAAAAGTGAGCAAGGGGCGCCTCATCGACGCGTGGGTGCGGTGAAAATGGGCAAAGGTTCTCGTGTTTTTCTGGGCAAGCGCGGGTAAAAAAGCTAGTCAAAGACTATAGAGTTAGGGTAGCCACTTGGAACATAGGAACCTTAACTAGTAAGACGATGGAATTGGTAGATGTTATGATTAGGAGGAGAGTTAGTACAAGAAACTAAGTGGATGGGTGAGAAAGCTAGGAAAATTGAGGATACCGATTTTAAACTGTATTATAGTAGTAAAGATAAATGCAGGAATGGAGTACGAATCATAATTGCCAAGGGTCTTGCGGAGAGTGTAGTGGCGGTCACTAGAAAAGAGGATAGGATTATGCTAGTTAAACTAGTTATTACGGGGAATATAGTGAACATTATTAGCACATACGCCCGTCAAGTAGGATTAGATGATCAGACTAAGAGGGATTTTTTGGAGCAAATGGATGAGATCTTACAGGAGATACCCGTGGGAAAGAACCTGGTTATAGGTGGAGATTTTAATGGCCATGTAGGCATAAATAAACTAGGCTATGAAAGGGTGCATGCTGGATACGGTTTTGGTGACAAAAATAAAGCTGGAGAGAGTATCTTAGATTTTGCGTTGGCTTCTGACCTAGTGGTGGCCAATACTATGTATAAGAAGAGGGAGGAGAATTTGATAACCTTTAAGAGTAGATTAGTTAAGAGCCAAATAGATTACTTTTTAGTGAGAAAAGTAGACCGCCTAAAATGCAATGATTGTAAGGTGATTCCTGGAGAGAGCCTGGCCTCTCAACATAGGATTTTGGTACTAAATTTATGTTTTAGAGGGCAATACCAAACTAGGAAGGATGGTGGGCGTCGTAGAACGAGATGGTGAGACCTAAAAGGGGATAAACTAGAAATATTTAAGAATCGAATGGATAAGGAAGGTACTTGGGACTTGGAAGATGATGCTAACACTATGTGGAACTCGATGGCCAATTGTATGAGGAGAATCTCAAGGGAAGTGCTTAGAGAGTTGACCCAGCTCTAGGGAAACTTGGTGGTGGAGGGAAGAGGTTCAAGCGGTAATTAAGGCAAAAAAAATGTGCTTTAAAAAGTGGCAGAAGGATAGAACTGAGGAAAACATTAAGAGCTATAGATTGGCTAATAAGAAGATCAAGAAAGTAGTGAGAGAGGCTAAGTTGAAAGCTTATGATTACCTATACACTAGACTAGCTAGTAAGGAGGGAGAAAAGAGGGCATACAAACTTGCTAAGATATGAGAGAGGAAAACAAGAGATTTTAATCAAGTTAAGTGCATCAAGAGTGAGGATCTTAAGGTATTGGTGAAGGATGAAGAGATTAAGGAAAGATGGAAGAATTATTTTGAGAAACTATTAAATAAGGAACATGGAGGTATGGTAATAGGGGAAGAAATAGCCGGTAATACGATAAACCAAGACTATAGATTCTATCGCAGGATTAGGAACTTTGAAATTGAGATTGCACTTAAGAAGATGAAATCAAATAAGACTTTAGGACCCGATGATATCCCTATTGAAATTTGGAAGTGTTTGGGTAAGAAGGGAGTTGCTTGGTTAACCGGGTTGTTTAGCAAAATTTTGTTGACTAGGAACATGTCAGATGAGTGGAGGAAAAGTATTTTAGTGCCAATCTATAAGAATAAAAGTGATGTCCAGAATTACAACAACTATAGAGGAATCAAGCTAATGTGTCATATAATGAAAGTGTGGGAGAGGGTGATGGAACGCCGATTGCGAGATATAACAGAGGTGTTAGAGAATCAATTTGAGTTTATGCCTGGCAAGTCAATAATGGAAGCGATCTATCTTTTGAGGAAAGTAATAGAAAAGTATAAAGAAAAGAAAAGAGACATTCATATGGTGTTTATCGACCTTCAGAAAGCATATGATAGAGTGCTCCGGAATATAATATGGTGGGTGTTAGAGAAGAAAGGGGTGGCAAAAGGTTACATTGATGTGATTAGAGGCATGTATGAAGGGGTGGTGACCACTATTAGATCGCCAGCTGGAGAGACAAATAAATTTTCTATCACTATAGGGTTACACCAAGGATTTACATTGAGTCCTTATCTTTTTGTTTTAGTTATGAATGAGTTGACGAGAAATATTCAGGATGATGTGCCATGGTGTATACTTTTTGTAGACAATATTGTGCGAGTGGATGAGATTAGAGGATGAGTTAATACAAAGTCAGAGATTTAGAGAAAAGTTCTTGAATCTAAAGGATTCCGGATAAACAAAACTAAGATAGAGTACATGAAGTATAAATTTAGGCCTTGTTTGGGAAGACTAAATAAGTCCACACTTTTTATCTTTTTTGAGTCACATCAATCAATATCTCCTCTCTACTTTTCTACACATCTTTTTATAAAAAGTCAAAAAGCGCACTTATTTAGAACATCCCAAGCAACCCTTAACAGTAGCAATGAAAGCAGAGGAGAAGTGAAGATTAAAAACCAAGAACTGCCTAAGTGTAAATATTTTCGTTATTTAGAATCGATTATCACAACAGCAGGGGCGATTGATGCAGATTTGGCCTATAAGATTAAGGCGGGATGGTGTAAGTAGAGAAGTGTGTCTGGGATATTGTGCAATAAACGAATACCCACTAGATTAAAAGGTAAGTTCTATAGAACGGCTATTAGACCAGCAATATTGTATGGGACGAAGTATTAGGCAACCAAGAAATAACATGTAGATAAGATGAGTGTGACTGAGATGAGGATGCTAAGGTGGATGTGTGGTAAGACTAGACAAGACAGAATTAGGAATGAGTATATTCAGGAACGGGTAGGAGTAGCACCGATAAAAGATAAGTTGAGAGAGAATCGATTGAGATGGTTTAGTCATATTCAACGGAGACCAACAGAGGTAGTAGTGAAGATATGAGATGCTGTAACGGTAGATGAAAGTGTTAGGGGAGAGGGTAGGCCTAGATTAATGTTGGCTAGCGTTGTAAATAGAGATATAAATCTACTTTATTTGACTAATGAAATAGCCTTTGATAGGGCTGCGTGAAGAAGAATGATTCATGTAGCCGACCCCATTTGATGGAACTTAAGGCTAGGCTTGGCTTGGTTTGGTATGGTATATATATTGGTATCTAGATTAATATTACACCACAAAGAATCAATATTAACAAAAACTAACTCTAATTCTATTTATATATATATATATAAATTACTTTTAAATTAACACTTACAGTTTATATCTTTTTTATGAATGATCTATTAAGTATTTAAATCTAAAAAAAATGATAAACATTTAACATTCATAAAAAACACTAAGTAAAATGAGAGAAAAGACAACTTGTCATGTCCCTAGTGTGTCTCCGGCGCGTCCCCTAAAAATAAATTAATTAAATAAGGGAACACACCATGTGGTGTGTCCTATACGTGTCCCCGAAATGTCTGCCTGTCCCTGAAGTGTCCGTATCTCCGACATGGATACGGCACTTGTTTTGCAGTGTCAGTGCTTCATAGCTTGTGGATTAGCGACTTAAAATTGAGGTTTTGTCATCAAGATGTCTCATCCAATCCTCCCTCCAGGGAGTTGTACATTGGTTGGTCGTAAAGACATAAATCTCACAAGAAAGCAACTTCAGAGTCCAGACTATAACCGAGACACATGATGATGTGCTCTGCAATCTGTATTTAATACATTATACACCTAACTACCAACCATCTACATTATTAGGTCATTGCAACCTCCCAATTGTCTGGCCAAGGACGGTGAGCCACTAATCCCTCGAGCATGACAGTGTACTCAAATGATCTGGCCCCCATGGCCTAATTCCCCAGCAAATAGGAGGTTGTCACATAACCCTCTTTGGAAATTTCAGAACGTACACTAGCACTCTTTTTCTCCATCTAAGACCACCCCAAGCTCCTAATTCAGCAAAATTGAAATGCCATTAGTAAACCCAAAAACCTCTGAGGGTGCGTTTGCTTGAGGGATAAAATGGGGGATAAGAGGTGGGGGAACATGTGGGTCTCATTAGATTTTTAGTCTGGCCTTTGATTGTGAGATTAAAAGGGGGATTATATGTGGGGAAACATTTGGGCCTACATGTTTTTAAGTCCGGTATTTGTTTTTACACAGTATTAAAACTCTGGATAACTTTAATACTAGTATGGATGATCTACGTTACAAGGACTGATCAGTTTTGGTGAAGTACCCGTGTCGACACGACATGGCTACGGGTATGGAATCTGGCAGGGATACGGCATGGAAGAAGTGAATACGGCATACAGAAGTACGAAGAAAGATGGCATACCTGTGATTAGGGCTTCGATCCTGCAATTAGGTCTTCGATCTTCTTCTCTCAATCCGTCTTCTTCTCACTCTCACTCTCACTCTCGATTGTTCTCTTCTCTCTCTTCTCTATATTTAGATTGATTTCGTCTCTCCCTTCTCTCTGTTTTCTTCTCTCACTGATCGACTTCATATCTCTCTCTCCCTCTCTCTCTCTCTCTCTTCTTTTTAATATAATTTATCATAAATAATATATAATATCATTTATATCATTTATAGTATAATTTATCATATATAATATATCATAAATAATATAATTTTTATGCCTAAAATAAAAAAATATTTATTTAATCATATATAGTATAATTTATTTTATGCCTAATATAATTTCTACTTGTCATTTCTTTTTTATTTTTTATTTTTTAACAGAATCTATTATTTCTTAACTTTTTTTTTTTAAACTCATCTTTATGTAATAAATATATTTAAAAAATAACTATTTAACGTATCCAGTATCCGTATCCAAATTTAGATCCATATCCAAGTATCCTCAATTTTTTATTTTGAAGTGTCCGGTCCCTATATACGCATCCACACCCAATACCCACACCCAAGTCTGTGTAACGTAGTGGATGTTTAAATCAAGAAAAATGGGGATTAATTAATACCATAGGATTGTGGTATTAGGGGGATTAAAGTATAAGGTTAAATATAAGGTAGATGTTACATTGTCAATAGGAGATAAGTATCTTAACTTTTTTTTAACATACAAAATTAGGATAACCGTGACTCCTATGATGATATTGACTAAAAAAAAATCTAAAATAAGAAATCACTATCCCTATAATGATAGGCCACTTCAATTCTGTGTCAGAAAAATCATTGTCCAATAAAACATTTACTTCACAATTAACTTCAGAATTAAATTCATATGATCTGACTGAAAATACTAATTTTTGGAGGAGGGTGTAGGAAAGGCATTTATCTATCATTCCTGCAATCTTTTCTGCCTCCATGTCTCGTCCTACTTTCTCATGAATTTACCATTTCAGTTTGACCTAATTTGTGTTGAATAGGTGCTCTGCATATTGGTCGTCCACACAATATATGAAGGTTGTGTTTGGATCAAAAACTTGAGAGAACATTTAACTCTAAGGGATTGGTCTGGTGGCAAGGCCTTGGGTCTTTGTTGTGTACTCCCTACATGGTTTATAGATCGAAACCTCTTTAAGTGCAAACAATTTCTTAGAGACATCGGACCGGAGGGAAATTTTTTAAATTAACAATGGTGCACTTGTGTAAAACTCCTTGCTGAGGGCCGTGCAGCCTGGGAATTAGTTGGACTTTGACCCAGACACCAGTGCCAATCAAAAAAAGAAAAAAAACTAAGAGAACATTTGTGGAGGGAAAGAATTCCTCTTCAACTCATTGACCCAAACATAGACCAAAGGAGCAAGGGCTTGTTAACTATTCTAACCAGACAAGTTACAGACTAGCTCAAAGAAATTCTAACTAATTTTCATCTAATTGTACACTATACCCATGACCCAACTCACCCAACTAACCCTAGATCCTTAAACAGAAACTATCATTAATCCATGTCATACACAATCAATCAAGAATCGCAATTACCCACATTGAATTGGCAATCCTAAATTCCACATACTAAAGAAATTCAAATAAATTAAGTTATGGGTTCGAAAGAAATATGATTCATTGGCATCAAACAATCACCAAAAAAAAAAAAAAAAAACACTAATTGAAACTAAGCAAAATTTTGGAGGTTATTATGACAAGTGATCTGAGAAAGTATCAATAAATAGTTTTATTTAATCATGCGAGTTTAAGGACTCGGAAGACTGAAATGAACGAGTCGGTGAAATTGTGTTCAAGAACTAAATCAAGAGACACGAAATAAGAGTGAAGAAACAGAGAGAGAGAGAGAGAGAGAGAGAGTAAGATCGGAGAAAACCTCTTTTCTCTTTGTTCTCCTTGTTTTCTGCCTGTGTGTGTGAGAGAGAGAGACAGAGAGATCAAGAAGTGATGATGAGAGATGACTGAATTTGACTCCTCGAAGATTGACAGATGGATATGGGAAAGTCAAAAAGGAGAGATTTTATAAAGTAAGGGTTGGTTTGGGAGGTGGGTTGGTTCTTTGGCTTTTTGAATTTTTTGACTATTTTAACCTGGGTTAAAAAGTTTGGTTTGGAAAGGATTTTTTGGCTTTATGGTTTTTTTGATTTTTTTGTGAGAGAAGAATGTAATGATTATGGGTTGGATGTGATGTTTTGTTTGTTGTGGCTAAAATAGCTTATTTTGTCTTTGATGGTTAAAATACCCAAAAAAACCCACAATCTATCTTCCCAAACGGAGCCTAAATTATAACAATGGCCAAGTTACACTAACGGTGTTCATTAGCCTGTTTGGTAGAGATGTAAAAAAATACTTATCACTTATGTCTAAATAATTTATAGGTTATAATTATGAACATAAATTGATTTCTGACTTATAAATTAAGTATTTTCTGTCTCACTCAAAGAATAAGCTGATTTCTGACTTTCAAAAAGGTATAAGCTAAATCAAATACATCAAAATAGCTTAAATTAAGTTAAAAATTGAAATAAGCAACTTTTAAGCTGCACCAACAGGCACACAGTTTGAGACTTGAGTTATTTTGATTCTTGATTTTTTAATTATAATATATTTGATTTTAAATTTTAAATTTTGTTTTAAATAAAGATAATTAAAGATATTATTATTTAATTTTAAAGACAAAATAATATAAATTAATTTGACAAAAATAAATGTCAATTTTTTTTTTAATTTTAAAAAATTATTTATACTCACTAAAGATAAAATTATGTAAAATTGATAAATCTTTTAGACATTTATTTATTTCAATGGCAAAATCGTTAATTTGATAAAATATAAACTAATTTGACAAAAATAAATGTTAAAAAAATATTTTTGAATTTTTAAAAATTATTTCTATCATAAAATTATGTAAAATTGATAAATCTTTTAGATGATGATCATGTAATGGGTGGTTGTTTATATTTTCATTAAATTAATTTTTATTTGTCCAAAAATCAAATACGCAGACAATTTTGATATCATTATTAAACCAATTCATTAAATCAAAAAGTTTAAAACTAAGAACATTTCATATATTAAATATATCGATTACATATTAAAATTTTAACAAGCACCCATTACATGTTCATCATCTAAATACATAATAAAAATTAATTTGGTAAAAAAAATAAATAAATGTCTAAAAGATTTATCAATTTTATATAATTTTATCTTTAGTGGTAGAAATAATTTTTAAAAATTCAAAAATATTTTTTTGATATTTATTTTTGCCAAATTAATTTATATTTTATCAAATTGACGATTTTGCCATTGAAATTAAGCAATGATATCTTCAATTATCTTTATTTGGAACAAGATTCAAAATTTAAGGTCAAATGTGTCACAATTGAAAAGTCAGGGATTAAAGTGAATCACGTTCCAAACTACAGGGACTGTTAGTATAATTCGCTCTATAAAAATTTATAATAGTTTTAAAAATTATAAATATTTTTTTATCAAAAAAATTTATTTAATAAAGTTAATAGAAAAAAACAATGAATTACTTTTTTATATAATAATAAAATTATCAGATTTGTTAAAATTTCAGAATAATATAGGATTGTGAAAAGATAAAAACGATTTTTTTATATATATTTATGAGGTAGTATTTGGTAATTTTTATAAGTTAATTTTTCTTATATAAATATGAAATGTTATTATGTTTATTTTTCTTATTAAAAATTTAATACATAAATATATTTAGAAAATAAAAGAAAAATTCGTGTTCCCTAAGTTGGTATGATATTAAGTGATACTAGCTAGTGTTGATGAAAGAAAAAAAAATGACAAAAATGGAGGAAAGAGCATGAATGAAGAGAACAAATGCTAATAAGAACAAATACTAATAATAATAAATTGCTAGCAGGTGACCTGTGCGATATACGAAAATTTATTTTTAAAATAAAAATTTGATTTTGAATCTTAATATTTTATGTGTAGAATATTTTAACAATTGAAAATCACATACAAATAGATTGACTAATGAATGATGAAAATTTTTGTCACTGTGTGATTTTATGTAAAATAACTCTGTGGGGAAGTAGTTTGGAAATACTCTTCAGATCTTAGGGGACGCTCGTGATCCTTAGATTGTCACCTAAAAAGAAATGAACACTCCGGTCGGGAGTGCCGGAATTAGCACTCCAACGGACAAGTTAGTCTCTACTCTCTCTGGATTACTTGTATTTTAAGTTGAGTATATTGATTCTCACATACCTCTTTTCTGGCTGATGTTCTTCTATTTATATCTTTTCTTTCTTGGGTCTCTGGATTGGGTCCACTTTCAATTCACCATTCGGCTTCTTTTGTAGCAAACCGCTTTTCACTCGGCCCCTTGCTCAACTAGCTATTTGGTCGAATAGGGTAGGATTTGAACGTGCGAGATGGGGCCGAGTGCTATATATTTCGATTCTCCAAGTTCAACTATTCAGCCTCTTTACGACTCCAAATATTCGGCCCCCATAATTGCCCCCCAAGCACTCTACTAACGACGGTTGGCTGGAGGTTTGGTTTCGAACTCGAAAAGTCAGAGCCGAAATTCGGCGGTTGACCTCATTCCAACGCAGATGTCTGAGCACACGCTTTTTAGTTATCATTTCAACTTCTCGCCCCTTTGTACACTTCTATTTATTGTGATTTAAAATTTCGACGTCTTTTCAAATACATACACATTTTTAGGTGCTCGTCCCTGGATTGCCTTCCGAATTACCTCTGCAACTTCCTTTCCTTCATTATCCTCTTCGTCTCTTGTAAGTTCTCTCCCTCTCTGCTTTGAATCCTTTTCCCTAGTTTGTTTTTGGTTTAGCATATTCCCATAGGCTGAAGGAAATGGCAAAACATTGAAAGATCTCCTCTCCTCGGATCGAATTTCGGGCTTCCGACTCCATTTTTCCATTCCTGATGACGTCCGTCTGTCACTCGTGACAGACAGCACTCTCGATATGGAAAGGGTTGATAAAACCACGATCGTCTTCCCTCTCCTATCAATCGCAGAGGGTGGAGTTCGTTTCCCCCTTCACCCATTCCTTAGGGCTGTGCTTTGCCATTGGGGTCTAATCCCTTCCCAACCCAATGTCAACTTTTTTAGAATCATAATGAGGATTATAGAGCTAAACCGTCGCCTTAGGATTAACCTCGGCATTGTTGCTATTCGGCATTGTTATGCCTTGGCCAAGTCTTCTGGTCGGCACAGACGTTATTTCCTTAGGGCCAAGGACGCCGACCATCAATTAGTGACTATGCTTTCCAGTTCTGGGAAGTGAGTCGATGATGTTATGGTCGTTGTCCAAGGTAACTAGGAATTCGGCGAAGGCGAGGATCGCCTTGATCTTATTCCTAGACGGAGGGGCGAACTAGGTGGCCGTATAGCTTCTTGTGTTTATTTTTTTTGTTATATTTATAAAGCTTCATTTTTTAGACCTCATGGTTTTGCTTGTGTAGGAAACGATTTGAAGAAAGTCCTGACTTCAACTGACGACACCGTTTTTTCAGAAATCCAAGTTGCGCTCAAATATTTCGGCTGTCCGAGTCTTCAGAAACAGGGAAGGGCGGCCCACGTTCTGCTTCGCTACGAGCCGACATATATGACCTTCTCGGTGGCAGAAAATATCCCAATTCCGAAGGGTGAAGAGTTTCTTACCGCTCTTATTTTGATCCTCCCCGTACAGAAACGATTTGAAGAAAGTCCTGACTTCAACTGACGACACCGTTTTTTCGGAAATCCAAGTTGCGCTCAAATATTTCGGCTGTCCGAGTCTTCAGAAACAGGGAAGGGCGGCCCACGTTCTGCTTCGCTACGAGCCGACATATATGACCTTCTCGGTGGCAGAAAATATCCCAATTCCGAAGGGTGAAGAGTTTCTTACCGCTCTTATTTTGACCGACTTCAAAAACTTGCGACAAGTTGGTTTCGAGGGGTCTGATTCGGAGCAGGTGGAAGTAGCTGAGGTCGCTGAGTCAGATCAGTTCAAAGCAGAAGTAGACGAGGCTTTGAAGTTGGCCTTTGGGGAAGCCGGCCTTAATTCAGCTGACCCTCCATCCACTTTGGGCCAAGAGAACCTTCCATTTGACGACGTTTTTAACGGTTTAGAGGACCTTCTCGGCGTATACCCCGAAGACATGGCTAGATTAAACCTCACACAACTTGCCAAAAAAAAAAAGCCCGAAAAGGATGGCCGCGTGGCGAAGAGTAGAGGCCATTCGATCTGAAGTGCCACCTGCCGCTGAATCTCAGCCCTCATTGCCTGTTATTGAGGAGGAAATGGCAAAAAACCGAAGTGCCAAGTCCGAGGTGGTTGTGCAGGCCGATCAAGAGGTTGAGCAAAGGGCAGAGAAGCGTCCTGCCGAGGTCGAGGCCAGCTTAAAAGAAAATCGTTCCGACAAACGGCCTCGTTTAGAGGAATCAGATGTGATTGTGCCTTTTGTCATTCAACCGAAGATGAAAAATACGTCGATCTCCTCTGATGCTTCGGCAATTAAAGACCTAACCGTCGCACTCAGCATGGCTACGTCCGTCTCATTGCCGGCTGACAAGGCGGCTTTCCGGGCAGAGCCGGATCTCCTAGCAATAGTGCTAGCCGCACAATCGGCTCTCCTGGTATATACCTTGACCTTGTCTTTCCCTTTTATGGAAATATTGTTTTGGTTTTAATTTCTTGTTTCGCAGACGGTCGGGAGAATAGCCAAGATAGGCCGTCGCCAGCATGACGCCGTCGAACGACTTGGCCGTTTACAAACGGAAATAGAAGGCCAAAGGAGCAGGGCTGATTTCGAGGCGGTGAGGGCGAAAATAGAAAGCGCCAAGGCTGAGGCCGAGATGGAGAGGGCGAGAAATGCGGATCAGCTGAGATTGGCCCCCGAGAAGAGGGCAGACGCAAGCGAAGAAGCACTCAAGTTAGCCCAAGAGGCGATCACCAAACTGGAGGCTAAGTTAGAAGAGTTAAAGAAGGCGAAGGAAGCAGCCGACTCGGAGGCTTCCAAGGCGTTCAAAACCGGGCAAAGTGCTACTCTCGCCAAATATGTGGAAGAAGTCCCTGTAGACACCCCATTTTTGACCGTCCTCAAGACTTGGACGTCACCGTTTGAACACTCGGTGATTATCCATGTTTGTGTTCGTTTGGAGTTCCCGGAGGTCTCGGCTCGCGCGCCTTGCCTCAGGATCTCCGAACTTGACTGTTTAGTGTCTGGTTTCACACCAAACACTTGTGTTTTGCCTTTGAGAGGCAGGGTAGGGCTTGTAGACCATCCCCACCCACCACCGGTAGTGGCTAGAGGCCACCGACTGGTTTTTTCTGCCACCGGCAATTTATATTGCCGGCCGGCACTATTTGTTGCCGGTCAGCACTATTTAGTGCCGGCCGGCACTCTTTTTTTGCCAAGATGGCATTTCTGGCCGGCCGACTACTGTGCATCTGCTTTTGCAGATATTTTAAGACAGCTGTCTTGCTTTTGGCTCCCCTCCATATACGTGTATGAAGGGATCTCTCTCTTGGAAGCTTGTCTTGTAAGCTTTACAAGACAAAAGCTTCTATATAGAGAGGGAGTGGTCTCTTGGCTTAGGAGGGACATTTTTGAAGATTTTTTGAGAGCTAGACAGCCATGGTTAAGCTCTGGTTTTAGGGTTTGAGTTAGATACAATTCCTATATCTCTTTCCCCCTCTTTTGTGCTCTAGGTGTTTTGTGTCTTACTATTGCACACAAACACATAGTGTTTCACCTTCCTATAGCTACTGAGGTTCTAAAGGACTGGTTTTAGTGTTTTGGTATTGGATTGAAGCCAAAGAGGGCCATTGGAGCACCATTGTTGAAGAGGTCTTCAAGGGTGAGAATCTAGTCCCATTATTCCCCATTTTTGCATCTTGTTTTTACCTATCTTAAAATCGTTTTTGAGCTTAGTGTATAATACAAAAAAGTTCTGTTTTTTAGTCCTCTTGATTGTTTATTAAGAGTGTTTTGTGGTTTGGAGGTGTTTGACCCCTCTTAGGCCTTGAAAGGCCGCCCTCTTTATTTTTTATTAAGAGTGTTTTGTTGTTTGAGGGTTGTTGACCCCTCTTAGGCCTTGAAAGGCCTCATTTTGTGCCCTTTTGTGCTAGCTCCGGGATTTTGGTGTTGGAGTCTGTTCACCACTGAAATCTTGAGGGATTTCAGTGGTGAAGATGATGCCTTGAAGTCCCAAGAAGGAGAGGGCCACCCCCTCTCCTTGTTGTCCTTGAAAAGGGCATGTTTTGGCCTCTTGAGAGAGCATTATGCTTGAGTGTGTGTTGAGCATGTTTAGGTTGTTTTTCATGCTTATATATCCATAATATAACATGAATTTAAATTGGTTTTGGTACTCCATGCATGCTTAGCATATTTGCCTTGTAATGCCTTGTTATGCCTTAATATGCTTTAGGTTGTTAGCCTTTATTGGAGCATGTTTTAGGCTTAGTCTTGTGAAGATTATGTGCTTATTTTGCCATGTTCTAGGTCTGTCCTAGGTTGTTTGGGTTGATTTTGGCATGCATCATATGGCTCCTTTGCATTGTGGCTTGTTGGCCTTAAGTGTGTGCATGTATAGCATGACATCTTTGCATTGATTTGGTGATTTGGGGTCCCCCCACATGTTATTTCAGTCCCATTTCCATGCTTGTTTGATTGCCTTGCATGCATCCTTAATGCCTCATAAGCTTGTGTAGCAATGCTCCTTGTTTTGGCACTTGTGCATGCCTCTAAATTTGAGCCACTTAGATGCCATCTAAGAAGTCCTTTGGCCTTGTTTTGACATGCTAAAAATCTGTTTTAGTAGTTTAATGCATGCCATGTTTGTTGTGATAAAACAGCTGTTTGATAGCCTCTAGCATGCTCCTTGCACTTGTAGTGCAATTCCACTAAACTAGCTTAAAATGCATCATGCTTTGGACCATCATTCTAGCATGTGTTTGGCTCAACTCCAGCAAGCTTTTACTCTTGTTTTACCATGCTTAAGCTCTATTTTATGTTGTTTGGGCCGTACATGCCTTGCTTTGTATAGGCATAGTGCATTCTAGGTCACTAGCCTTGTGTTTTCATGTCCCTAGCATGCAATGCTTGTGTTGTTTGGATGGTTTGGCATTATTTCACACCTGATTTCAGAGCATATAGTGTTGTCACACTTCCATGTTTGTCACTTCTTGATCATGTTTGAGAGTTGTGCT